TTCCTTCCTTCCTTCCTTCCTTCCTTCCTTCCTTCCATTTTATTTTATTTTATTTTATTTTATTTTATTTTATTTTATTTTATTATCACTAAAACATATTTTTATTTCTGACAATTTCACTTATAATTTCAAGTGTGAAAGAAATCCAGTAGTTGGAGTATGTTAAATGTTTGCCCCCTCTTCTCCTTATATAAGCACCCAAAATTTCCTACAAATCCAGTAGCCAAGCTTCTGGCAGGAGGGGAGAATATTTAAAAAGGTCCTTCCTATTGAGCTCTGCAACCGGGCAAGTTCATAAACATTCTGTCTGGGATCATACATCGTATCAAATCATTTTGTGCCTTCTTTGTTATTTGTCTTACACAATATATGAGCTCACCCATTATCACTTATATATGTGTTATAAAAGGGCTAGGCCACTCTGGCTTATTCAAGAAATCGTTACTAAAAATATAATGGGCCAGCATAGTATCTGGACTTAGCTACTGTTTCTAGATTGTCCTCTATACTTTTTTAATAGACAAAATTTACACAGCTGTTAAAACTAAAATCTGAGTTCAATGGGAGCATGTATCCAATTCTTGGCAGATTTACTTGGGAAGTCCTGTTGATATCAATAGAATCTACTTTTGATGACATCATGGTGAGAATCTTTTCAGCTTCAATCAACAATTTATTTTTTTCAATTTGCCCTGATTTGGTTCTGTAATGAAATAGACCATTAACCAGCCCACTACATAGCTATATTCAGAAATCGAACAGGATGATTTACTGAAAGATACTCCTTTTTTAAAAAAATCTAATTTCATGTTTCTGTAGCTTCAGAAGAGCTGACAATTGCTGGTATGACGTTTACAACTTTTGATCTAGGAGGACATACTCAAGGTAAGAGAAGCAAACAGGCAGAATCCTCATTGTATTATCTAAATGTTAATGTAATAGTTTAATCTTTGTTTGCTCTACTCCAAGGTGATTATACTACAACCTTTTTTCCAGTTCTGAAAATCTTTTTAATATTGTTAGTATTTAATTTTCAATTTGTTCTGTAGAAACCTTCTGCTGCTTTTTTCCCATATTAAATGCTCATACTAAGTGTGAGCCATTGTATTTGTACTTAATTGGGTGAAGGCAACTTAAATATTGTATCATATCACCTTCAGTATTCTAACACTTCCCAGTCAAATTGCAGCACTTCATTTTTATTTATAATAATAATAGAAAGTATGATTATAATTGTTTTATTATTTTTAATGGGATAAAATTATGCCACTCTTTTGTTTTTATTACATTTGAAACAAGATTAAATGAAGGCAAATTATTATAGGATTCGCTCTACTGTTGAACATTGCAGTAAGTTAATCCTCTAGGTATTCTTGCTGATGTATTTATATATTTATCAGCTTGGATCCAGTGGTTTCAAAATGGGATTTTCTAGAATACATGAAATGTTGCTACTGAAGGGATTTGCTATTTAACTTTTTTAGAAGGTCTATTAATAATAGTGATTGGACAGGATTTTTTTTTAATTTCACCTCAAAATATAGTGATTTTTTCAAAAGCTCTTAATACTATATGGCAATTCTACAATAAATCTATAAGAAACTGTTTTTCTCAATATAAATGTTCATATAAATTTTCAGTTTTAGACCCAGCACAAAAGAAAAGATTGTTTATTTTCAAAAAACTTTTCACACTCCAAATGCCCTTTTAAAAGGTTTATCCAACTTAATGAAATGCTACTAGCATCTATGAATAGAGTAACAAGAATCACAGGTAATTTCCTGTTACAGTCTCTTTATAACCCTCTTTTGCTAGCTCGCAGAGTTTGGAAAAACTATCTGCCTGCCATCAACGGCATTGTCTTCCTGGTGGACTGTGCGGATCATGAAAGATTGGCTGAATCTAAGCAAGAACTTGATGTGAGTTCATAAATATTTGGCACTTACTAAATCCAGATTAAAAGCCCAACATTGTGATGAGTGGGGGAAAGCAACAAAACTTACATGTTGTAAAATTTGTGTGTATCTTTTGTGTCATTATAGGGAAGACCAGTTACTATTATCCTTCACTTTTCCTTAAATCTGTGTCAGTGAAGTCTGAACTATCAAAAGTCACAGGACATGAGGTCCACATTTTGCCCAGTTAGAACTGCCCTATTAGAGAATATATTCAATCAATAGAAGACATTCAAGGCCCATACTGTAGATTCTACCAATGTCTATGTTCTAGAGGAAGATTGACTATGTTTCTTATTTCATAGGATTATTGGGAAGTAATATGCAGCAAAAGATCAATTTTTCATTTCTTTGCAAGTCGTTGTAGGAAAATAACGAAGAGCATTATATGTTTCATAACATAAATACATAGACATTTTTTTTAAAAGCCTCTTCATTAAAATGAAGTGAACATTTCTGGAAAAAAAGAAATTATAAACAGTTCATCCCAATCCCAAAAGCTAATTGTGATTGCAAACTACTTACCCTTTTGCTTTCATAATTTTAATATTTAGCACTTGTTATCATATACAAGTTATCATGTTATAATCTAGTTGGAGTTAGCCCAGTTTTCTAACAAACATTCCAGAGCAATGATGGATAAGAGAGGAGTGCTCTTGTTCTAAGATGAATATGTTTGAGAAATTATGGAAGAGAAATTGTGCTTATTATTCCTCTCATCTACTTCTTTGGTGGCAGAGTAGGTTAAGTGGATGAATTGTGGGATAAGCCTTTCATCTGCTGCATAGCTAGCAGTGTTTCTTCTTCTTTTTTATTATTGTGAGCCGCCCAGAGTCACCCGTTGGGGGAGATGGACGGCATATAAGTCTGAAAATAAATAAATAAATAAATAAAAATAAATAAATAAATAAATAAATAAATAGCTGTTGTTTTCTATTCATCTAGCTACATCAT